CACCTCCCCATCGCTCTCCTCCTCCTCCTCCTCCTCCTCCTCCTCGTCAGAGCTCAGCTCGATGGTTGCCGTCTTGACCGCCCTGCCGCCTCCCCGGCCTCTGCCGCCTCCGCCGCCGCCAGCCCTGCCGCCGCCTCCGCCGCCCCTCGCCCCGCCCCTCGCCCCGCCCCTCGCCCCTCCGCCGCCAGCGCGAGGCGTTGCAGCGGCGGCGTGGTCGGCCGGCCGAACGCGGCCGCGCGCCCCCAGCGGCGACGGCTCGTCGCTGCCGTCGCTGTCGGAGCTGTCGCGCTCAAGGCGCGTCTCATCGACATACCGATGCACGGTCCGCTCGCGGAACGAGCGACCGGACGCTCCTCCGCGCTCGCCGCCGCGCGCCGCACTCTCGCCGCCGCCGCCGCCGCCGCCGCCGCCGCCCTCCTCCTCCTCCTCCTCCTCCTCCTCCTCCGCCTCCGCCTCCGCCGCGCCGCCCGCCGCGCCGCCGCCGCCCGCCGCGCCGCCGCCGCCGCCGTACCGAGGAGGGTGCTGGTGCAGCGCGGCGTGCAGCGCTGGCGGGAGGCGGGAGGAGGCGTCGAGGCTGACCGCACCTCCCGAGGTCGGCTCGAAGGAGGCGTCGGAGAAGAGAAGAAGGGAGGTGAGCTCGTCCTGAGAAAGAATCAGTTAGGAGGCGTGAGCTGTGTCGTGATCACTCGGGTGCGAAGCAGCGGCGTGAGGTCGTCCTCGCACAGCAGCTGCTCCCCCTTGGGCAGCAGAGTCAGGTACCTGACTCATGATCCACACCGCATCACTCCTCTGGACTCGCACAGCAGTTGAACAGCAGTGTCAGGCACTTCGCGCGCGGGCGGACGACTGTGCCGCGCAGCCGCAAGCGGCCGGCGGGCCACTGCAGCACCATCTCCGGGTGCGGGCTGTCGAGCTTCTCGATCGAGCCGATTTCGCCGCCCGCGACCGGCGCGAGGTGGCCCGGAAGAGCAACCAGATAGCGCGCCTTTGCCTGCCCGCGCCCCTTTTTGTGCACCGGCACGCTCGCGCCGTCGCGCGACATCTTGCGCAACGCCTTGGACGCGTGCAGCACTGAGTACTCGAAGGGCGGCGCGCGGTCGGCGCGCACTGCGGCGGACGAGCGGACGAGCTGGCGGGAGGCCTCGTCCGCCGCCGCCTCGTCCGCCGCGTCATGCCCAGCCCTCTTCCCTCGAGCGGCGGCGGCGGGGCCCGGCGCAGCCGCCACGGCGCGCGCGGCCTGCGCCGCCACCGCCTTGCCTTTGCGCGCGGGCGGGGTCGGCGCCGCCCGCGCAGCGCCCGACCGCGCCGCACTCCTCTCCGCGGAGCGCGGCGGCGCCGTCTCGTCCGGCTGCCAGTCGCTGTCACTGCCGTCGCCTCCGTCCCGGCCGTCGTCCTCGGTCTCCTCTGCTTCGCTCGACTCCTCGCCAGCGCTGCCGCCGCTGCCGTCGCCGCCGCCGCCGCCGCCACTCTCGCCCCCATCGCTCTCGCCACCCTCCGAGCCCCCGCCTCCCTCCGCCGCCGCCTCCTCCTCTCCTGAGCCCGAGAGCGGTGGCTGTCAGAGCGAGTCGGCCGCCGACGGAGCCTCTCGGTCTCACTCACCTTGCTCGATCGCCGCGTCGATCGCGGTGGCGATGCGTGCCCTCTCTGACTTGAGCCCGCCGGGCGCGAACCCAAACTCTTCCTCGAGCTTCTCGCGGACCTATCAGAAGAGCAGGGGCCTGTGTTCGGCTGCTGCAGGCGTGGGAGGGCTTGCGGGATGGCACCGTTCGGGTGCTGAGCTCTTCCGTGCCGCTCTCGCGCAGCAGCCGCGAGACGGCGCCGCGGAGCTTGGCCGAGTCGAGCATCTCTGCCTGAGCAGGAAAGAACCGGCGGCCGGTGAGTGGTGGAGCGCGCGGTTGGGCTTTCGCGCCAGACAAGATGTGCGAAAGAAGAATTCGCGGTGGGGACTGGCGCGCACTGCAAGAAGAAATCTGGCCTCACACAACGGCACAAACCGACCCAGCCTCACGCGCACGACAGTGTCAGCCAGACAGACAGAAGTCAGAACCAACCAGACGCGACGATGACTGCACTCCAAGTGCTCCAAGACGACGGTCGGAAGCCACACGGGCGGGTCCTACGACCGATCGACGCATCGACCGTGCCGGTTCGGAGAGCGGCGGCCACTCCCTCGCCCCTCCCTCACAGCTCACACGAGAGACAGTCAGTCAGTGAATGAATGAACTCACTCACTCAAAACTCTGTAAGGATAAATAAAGAGGCGTAGGCGTCGGCGAGAAGCTCTGCGAGCTGGTCGCGCGATCGTACTGAGTCAACCTCGAGGGCGAGAGCATGTGTCTGGCCACCCTCCACGTGAACCACAACGGGGAGCAGTGCCTCGTCCGTCGCAGGACGGCTATACTTTGGCCCACGCCGCCGCGACCGGCGGCCGCGGCAGCAGTAAGCGGCGCCGCACACACCCAGCAAGAGCAGCCCCGCCAAGGCGCCGGACGCCGCAACGCGCAGGAGCCTCGCTCTCCGCGAAACAAAAGTGCCGCCGTATCCGTCGCGGCCGGGGCCACGGCGGTGCTCGGTTCCGTTGGGCTCATTCCCGAGGGGCGCCTGCAGGCGAGGATGGCAACGAGGCCGGTCGCACGCCGTGTGTGTGAGTGGTGTGCGCCTGCGGCCAGGGGGGGGGGGGGGGGCACCCGCTCTCTCCGCGGCCCTGCGCCGCCCGTGGCCGCGCTCGAAAAGGTTTGCACCCGCGCCGCTGTCGCCTCCTTGTCACCACCGCAAAAGACACATCCGCGGCACTTGCACCAGCCGCAGTGCGCAGCGCGCCGGTTGCCCGCGGCAGATAGCGCGTCCGAGCTCGCGGGCCAGAACAGGTGGGCATCTGCCTCGGCAGTGGAGACCTCATCTGCAGCGGGCATCTCGCCGGGCGAGTTAACGCCGCCGCCGCACCAGCTGGCGCATCCCACCCTATTGGTGTCCCCTGCCCGGTCGCTGTCGCACCAGCTGCCATCATGAGACTTGCCGCCGCCGGAACCGGACGCGCCCCCGCCGCCCTTGCCACCCGCACCGCCGAAGCCACTGTCGACCCTGACGGTGCCCGCTCTGTTGCCGCCTTCTCTCCTGCCCCCCCACTCGCCGCCCGAGAAGGCGCCGCCAGAGAAGGAAACCTCGTGATGCGGCGTCTGCGGCGACGGTGGAGGCGGTGGTGGTGGCGGCGGCAACGGCGGTGGTGGCGGTGGTGGCGGCGGTGCCGGTGGCGGCGGCGGTGGTGGCAGCGGCGGCGGCGACGGAGGCGGCGGCGGCGGCGGCAACGGCGGCAACGGCGGTGGTGGCAGTGACACCTCCGGGAGAGGTGACGGCAGGTCTAAGGACTCAGCCATCAAGGGCCTCCCGCCATCGCCGCCGACGGTGCTAGCACTACCACCGCCACTACCAACGCCAACGCCGCCACCACTCCTCCCGGCGCTTCTACTGCCCTCGCCGCCGGCAGCTCCCCTGACCTGGCCGCTGCCGACTGGCCTTCCTTCCCCTTTGCCTCCACCGCCTCCTCCCCCGCCTCGCTCGGGTGGAACCCATCAGAGAGATGGGTGGGCGGGACGAGCAACGACCCCTGCACGAGGTAGACGGCCTCGTCTCCAGCGGCGCGGCGCGCCTGCACCGCCGACGCGAGCTGCGTTCGTAGCTCCTGCAGCGTCGCGCCGAGCGGCCCCTCGCATGGTGTCTGAGAAGGCGGTCAGCGGAGGCGTCGTTAGCGGCGAGTGGGCTTCCAAACCACATAAATGTCTCGGAAATGTCTCGGAAAACGCCACCTCGTCATGCGGCGACGCCAGCGGCGTGATGACCACCAGCGGCACGGCGGGCGCGGCGGCACGCAACGCGGCGAGGAGGCCGCCCGCCGGCTGCGAGACCTCTCGGTCGCAAGCCTGCCAGTCGGCCAACCCGAGCAGCAGCGTGACGAGCGACGGCCGAGCGGCAGCGATGGCGCCTAGCACCGGCCGGTCGCACGGCGTGATTGACGGCGCCCCCATCGCGGAGCTTACGCGGTAGCAGTTTCGCCGGCAGCGGAGAGCGTTGTCCGTGCGCCAGGGATGCCAAGGTTGACCGCCGACCACCCGTCATTGAGGGCAGCGAGCCCTTGCGGATACCCCTCTGCTGCACAGAGGCCAGAGGTGGTGCCGTCGCCGTAAGCAACCAGCCGGGTGGCCAGCGGAGGACCGAGCGGGAGGAGTGAGGGTCGGCGTCCGCCAAGCGCCACCGGCATCTGGCTCTCCAGATGAAACCGCCTGAGCCGAACCGGAGCGCCCCATGGTAGATGCAGCGCGTAGGTGTGAGCGCCGCCGCCGCCGCCGCCGCCGCCGCCGCCGCCGCCAGCACCTCCTCCACCACTGCCAGTCCCGCCGCCTCCGCCGACACCAGCGACGGCGAGCTGCACCCGCACCTCGCCCAGAAAGCCACGTGTCGGCCCCGAGAGCTCCTCGTCCGGCCTCTCACCTTTGGCGTTGGGAGAGGAGGCAGGGTGGGCAGTGCCGGCAGAGGAATGAGCGCTCGGAACTGGTCCGGGAATTGGTCCGCGAGGGGGGGGGGAGGGGGGGGGGGGGGGGGGGCGATGATGCGTCATGGGAGGCTCGCCCCGTGCGAGCGGCGCGCCGGAAAGGGTCGTGTGTGGCGGCGGGTCGACCCACTTGCCGTCGACCTTCAGCCGTGCCTGGCATTGGTTTGGGCACGGCCGCAGCTCGTAGCAGCCCCCAGAAGGCATCGTAGGGCTGCGGCCGGGCGCAAGCGGCGTATGAGAGCCATACGAGGAGGCGATCTGGTAGTTGCGAGCATGGCTCCGTGCTAGGCACGCGCGAACGCGCCAGGTCACGCTATCTTCCGTGGTGAGGCACAGCGGTGAGGCACAGCGGTGTGGATGGTGCACCAGCGATGGGCGCACGGGTGAGAGCCGAGGTACTCCAGGACGGCATAGACGGCCGTGGCGTCGGTGCGCAGCGAGGCTATGACACCCGGGCTGGCGCCCGCGGTGCCCGGCGCGCCATCCATCACCAGTCTGGTCCGCGTGAAGGTCGCTCCCTCTTTGGTTGCGACTATGGGCCTGCGGCCGCAAGGCGGGACGCGTGCGTGGCGATCGCGCGCGCGTGGCTGGACGTTCCACACGAGTGCGGCGTGAGCGTGGATCCGCGTCTGTTGTGTGTCTGCTGGCGCCGCACCCTGCAACGCCGTCGTAGCGGACGCGTGGGTCGTCTGGCCACACGTTGAAGGAGAAGCCGACCTTCTCGCGTGGAGGCGGAGGCGGAGGCGGACGCTTCCCGCCGGTGGCGAATCCGGCCAGCAGGGCGAGCGTGACGCAGCCGCTGCGTCGCATACCTGTGCCGTGCCAGCGCGTGAGGCCCGACGCTCTCGGCCACGGCGGGCACTCATCGCGGACGTCGGTATCTGGGCGGCAGGCGGGACTAGAGTGGCACGCCGGTGCACGGATGGGGGCGCGAGCCGCCATCTTGGACTGTAAGGCGAGTATTTTTAACCGGGAGCTCGCCGCCGCCCCTACACCGCCGCCGCCGCCCTCCCGGTGGCAAATAATAGCCCAAGTCGAAGAGTGCGCCCCGCCCTCGGTATCTGGGCGGCAGGCGGGGCTAGAGTGGCACGCCGGTGCACGGATGGGGGCGCGAGCCGCCATCTTGGACTGTGAGGCGAGTGTTTGCAACCGGGAGCTCGCCGCCGCCCCTACACCGCCGCCGCCGCCCTCCCGGTGGCAAATAATAGCCCAAGTCGAAGAGTGCGCCCCGCCCTCGGTATCTGGGCGGCAGGCGGGACTAGAGTGGCACGCCGGTGCACGGATGGGGGCGCGAGCCGCCATCTTGGACTGTGAGGCGAGTATTTGCAACCGGGAGCTCGCCGCCGCCCCTACACCGCCGCCGCCGCCCTCCCGATGCGTCGGAGTCGACTCTCGACTGCACTGAGAGAGTTCATCCCACCATCAGCACCGTATTCGCCCACAGCATGCCATGAGATTCATATAGGTCTAGTGTACACATCAGCTCAGCGAGACCAATATCTCCAGCCTCCTTCATCTTGGCTGCTGCTTGGGAGCCAACACCTGTGCAAGTGAGTGTCAGAGTGGTCGGAACTCGGTGGGAGCATCCGTCATCATTCACGTTCACACGACTCTTCACACTCGCTCGAAAAAGTGAAATTTTGTTTCACATGAAATGTGAAGTGAAAGTGAAAGTGAAACCGATTCGCTGTTTCCATGTGAAATCACGAACCCTGCCAACCCCCCCCCGCCCCCCAAAGAGCCCAGTTGATGTATCTAAGCAAGGATGCTTCTTTCTCCACACCTTGTTTTTGAATCGTCAGCACTCTTCACTCTACCCCGGTGACCAGACTCCGCGTTACACGGCATTAGCTCACCGCGTGTTCGGACAGCATCGCAGTCTGCTCCGGCGTCGCGACGCGCCGCCCGACAAGCCGCGCCCATGTGCCCCAATACGCCTCCCCGCCCACCCCCGGGTCGGCCTCGGCGTACATCCAGTCCTCCCACTCGACCCACGTCCCGTACGCCTCTTTCAGGCTGCCGATCTCGTGCGGCCGAACGCCCGAGAGGCAGAGCAGCCCGCCTGGCGCGAGGTTGGCACAGAGGGAACAGACCATGCTCGGCCGAACCAGCTGCCCTACGAGGATGTTTGCCACCACAACATCCGCCGGAGGCACCTGGGAGAGGCACGCTCGAGGGTGTGCGGCCATACCTCCCCGCATCTCCCCCAATCTCGAGGGTCTGCGGCAGAATCCGTTGTGGTACGCAACCTCGACCGAAACCTCGGCAGACTGTACTCTTGATCACCCCGATCACCCCATTTTTCGCTATGATCACTCCCTTCAAGGGGGGGGGGGGGGGGTCCAGTCCGAGCCTGACCTTTCTTCACCTTCTGTATCACCCCTTCATCAGTGTGGGAGGGTCAAGGTGATCATGGGTAGGGATGACTGGGGTGAACTTGTTGAGGTGTCGAGGTTGCGTGTTTGGGGCTTCACAAAGTTGCCAGGTCCAGCCGGCGGAGTGGCTTGTGTGTGTGTGCGTGTGTGTGTGTGTGTGTGTGTGTGTGTGTGTCCCGCGCTCGAGAGCGCAGATATAGGGAGATGTGGGGATATGTGGGGAGATGTGGGGATATGTGGGGAGATGTGGGGATATGTGGGGAGATGTGGGGATATGTGGGGAGATGTGGGGATATGTGGGGAGATATGGGGAGATATGGGGAGATGTGGGGAGACATGGGGAGATATGGGGAGATGTGGGGAGATATGGGGAGATATGGGGAGATATGGGGAGATATGGGCGAGCCGCGCGCGAGAGCGCCGGTGTCCTGTGCGTACGGCCAGGCTGTGTGTCACTTCTCTCACTCTCTGGCGCACCAGCCCGCCCGGCACCACCTCGCGCACGTGCAGCAGCTCGGCGCGCTGCTCGACGCCTAGATCTCGTGGCGATCTCGGGGTGATCTCGTGGCGATCTCGTGGCGATCTCGTGGTGACCTCGGGGTGATCTCGTGGTGAGGTGATGGGGTGAGGTGATGGGGTGAGGTGGAGGCGCTCGGGGCGACCTCGGGGTGACCTCGGGGTGATCTCCGCCACGCTACTCGGCCGCCGTTCAGCTCCAAATTGGCGGCGGCCACCACGAGCGCCTCCGCGTCGACGTCGACGGCGGTCGCCTTTGCGGCGCCCGAGATTGCCCGAGATTAGCCGAGGTTACGCGAGGTTACGCGAGATGACCCCAGAGGACGACGGGTCACCTTTGAGGCGCCGAGGGCGAGGGCGCCGGCCGCCAGCACGCCGCTGCCGCACCTTGGGAGATGTGGGGAGATATGGCGAGATGTGGTCTCCGTCGCCGGCGAGGCTTGCCTACGCGGAGAGAGCAGCGCACAAGGGTCACAGAGGTGGCTCGTCCCACACCTTCGCAAAGCTTCGTCGCCAGGCGAGGTTTGCCGAGATTCCGAGCTCGACACGGATCCCCTCGACGACCCACTCCTTGGCACGGGCGGCCACAGCCCCCTCCCCTCCTCCTCCCTCTCCTGCTGCTGCTGCTGCTGCTGCTGCTTCCTCTCCTCCTCCTCCTCCTCCCTCTCTTCCTCCTCTTCCTCCTCCTCCTCCTCCTCCTCCCTCACCTCCTCCTCCATCACCTCATCCACCACCACCACCACCACCACCACCACCTCCTCCTTCCTCATATACTGCTGCTGCAGCTACTACAAACGCTGCCGAAGCCACTGCTGCTCCACCGAGACGGCCGCCTCACAAGCCCACTCCAGAGCTGCCAGCAGCCTCCACCTCCCGGTACGCGCACGGCGCAGCCCCGCTCGCCCCTGCCTTCCGCGCCCCATACCTCCCCATATCTCGCCATATCTCGCCATACCTCGCCCCTCCCCTCCGGGCCTCGCCCCTCCCCGCACCGCTGCGCGACGCCACGCGCCAGCCGGTTCCGCTCCCCGCCTCTTCCCTCCTGCTGCCGCGCCGCCACGCACTCCACGCCAGCTGCAGCCGCAAGGCGACGAGGTCGGCCGCCATCTGCAGCGGCGTGAGCGGCGTCACCTGTCCATTCGACTGCCCGCGCTGACCCCAGATCACGCGAGAGAACCCGAGAGTGCGGCGTGAGCAGCGTCGCCAGTCACGAGCGCACCGAGGTCGTGGGCGTGTCGTGGGCGTGTCGTGGGCGTGTCGTGGGCGTGTCGTGGGCGTGTCGTGGGCGTGTCGTGGGCGCGTCGTGGGCGCGTCGTGGGCGTGTCGTGGGCGTGTCGTGGGCGTGTCAGCCGATGGGCACCTTCGACCCCTCGACGTCGCGCCACGCCACCGGCACCGAGGCGATGCGGTAGCCTCTGGCCTGCGGACGGGGCGCAAACCGGATCAGAAGCGGGCATGGGCGGCCCCAGCGAACATCTCAGGGCCATGCGGTAACCGCGTCGGTGGCCTCGAGACCTCGGGGGGGCCGAAATCGGCGATTTCGGCCGAGGGACGGGTGGGGCGGGCCATCGGTAACCGCGTTTGGCCCGCCCGGGGAATGTGCCTGTCTAAAAGCGCCTCCGGCCGCGCGCCTAACCTCTGGTGATCCCGGCTGATCTCGTGTGATCTCGGCCGATCTCCGTCGATCTCGGCACAATCTCGCCTGCGCGAGGGCGAGGAGCTGCACATCGTATGCCCAGCCGCGGATCTGCAGCGACGGGAAGAGCTCGCGCGCCTAGAGAAAGAAGAGACACACGGGTGGGGAACGAAGTGCGCAGGCACGGGAGGGGAGCCAGCGCGCGCGCCGCGCGGCGGGAGAGAAGCTTGAAGCCGCACTGAGTGTCAGGCACGCCCCGGACGCACGTCGACGCGAGAGCCGCAAAGACGACTCCCATCAGCCTCCTCGCGGCGGGCCGAGCGGCGAGAGCCGCGGCGCGGCAGCCGACGGCCATCTCGCAGCCGCGCGCGCCCACCCGCCGCTCGAGCGCGGACAGCGCCGAAAGGGGCGTGGCGCCGTCCGCGTCGAGGAGGAGCAGGAGGTCGCCTCGCGCCGCCGCCGCGCCGGCGGCGAGGGCAGCGCCCTTGCCGCGATTGGCCCCACGGCCGGAGGAGAGGAGCCGCAGCCGCGGCTCCGCCGCCAGCCGCGCTGCGACGAACTCGCAAGTTGAATCGTGGGAGCCGTCGTCCACCACGATGATCTCCCACGGGCCGCGCCGGGTGGTCGACAGGTGAGCGAGCGACTCCTCGAGCGTGCGCGGAAGCCTCTCTGCCTCGTCGTACGCAGGGATGATCACAGAGAGAGACGCGGTGCCGACAGTGCACTGCGCGGCCGGCGACCGCGGCGATGGCAACCGGAGCGCGGGAGGTCGCATCGTGTGCGATTTTTTTCTCTAGTTCTCGAGGTTCTCGAGGTGGATATCCTTTGGCCGCGTTGGGTAGCGAGGATTGGTGTAACCCGAGCCACGGAGGCGTGTTTTCTGGCGGCCGACCGTCAGTGCACGGAGTTGCCACTTCTCCGACTGCCCCGGCTAGTTCCCGAGGTCGTCGGGTGTGACCCCTTCGTCCCCCGACGCCCGCCCGCCCGACCACCCATTCCCATCACCATCTCACATACCTTCATATAGGCGCTCGAGACTTCCTCTCGCTGCCTACTCGCTGCCTCGAGGGAGGAGGGGAAGACGTTGGGCGTGCGCCACTGCGCGCGCCTGTCACTGAGGCCCCTCCCCGAAAGGCAAGTGTTAGCCACAAGAAACCGAGACCCCTCCCCACCGCCCTGATCCCCCCACCCCCTTGCTCCCCTCCCCCCCTCGGGAGGGCCGAACTGAGGCGCCCGAGGGGACCCCGCAATTCCCTTCCCCCCTCGGAGGGCCGGACTGAGGCGTCGAGGGCCCCACTCTTTCCTTCGCATAGCGGCCACTCTTCGGATCGCTGGTCGAGCGACCCGGGGGATGCCCCGCGCGCCTGACCCAGGCGCGGAAACGAATCTGCGAGGCGTGGCCGCTCATGCGGCCCGATGGGGAGGAGGGGAAGACGTAGGGCGTGCTTGCGCGCCTTTCCGAGGCCCCTCCAACCCACCCGCGCTAGGTCTCGGGTTTGACGCATGGGGTCACTCCCGCGAAACCCGTGAACTAGCCGGGGCAGTCGGAGAAGGGGCAACTCCGTGCACTGACGGTCGGCCGTCAGAAAACACGCCTCCGTGGCTCGGGTTACACCAATCCTCGCTACCCAACGCGGCCAAAGGATATCCACCTCGAGAACCTCGAGATTTCATCGGGGTTGCGCGCTCTGCTTCCGCAGGGCGGCTAGGCAGCGACCGAACCGGGTGCATGCTGCACCTCCGGCGCTCCACCACCGACATCGCCCTTGGAGGCGGCGCAGAGCATGCGACGGCGCGGCCTCCCTTTCTGCACCGCCTCGCAAACTCGGTCGCGGAGGTGGTGCCGCCCGAGGAGCTCGACGCGGTGAGCATGTCAGCGACTGACCGGCTGGTTGCCTGGCTCTCCGGCTGGGGGCCGCTCGTCACCTCGCTGACAGAGGCTCAGCTCGCCGACCCTGCAAGCCGCCGCTCACAGCGATGGAGCAACGCCCCACGCTCCTCCGCTGCACATGATCGCGGCTCAGCCCGCGGCTCAGCCCGCGGCTCAGCCCGCGGCTCCGCCCGTGATTCGGTCCGCGGCTCGCTCCGCCACTCAACGATCAAGGTGCAGGCCACGCTCGGAGTCGGCGTCAAGTCTGTCCGCGGCCAACTCGGCCGCGCCTCGCCAAATGTGCGGATCCCTCGCCCTATCTATTCCGCGCATCCGTCCCATGCCCCGACGCCACCTATCCACTCAGCGCCCCCTCCTTGTCCCCGCCATCGCTCAACTGCTTGTGGCTAGGCATTTGTCGACGCGTGCGCCGACGCGCTCGCGCGAGAGGCTCTGCAGGTGCGGCCGCCTCCCCTTGCCCGCCTCCCAGGGCCAGCTGCCTATCTCGTCGCTGCTGCGGCTCTCACTGCTACTGTCCCGATTCACCACCGCTGCAATCGCCGCCGTTTGGTCTGAGCCACTCGCCGAATGCGCAACTCGCTGCTGCCCCTCTCGAGACATCCACTCCCTACTGCTGCAGGAGCTGCGCGGTGATACAGATGGCGACAAGCGGGCCGCGAGGTTCTCCGACGCCCTTTCGCCCTTTCGGGAGCGCGAGCCGTCGTGGTGGGAGTCGGTGCAGCTGTGGCTCTTCACCACGAGCGAGGTGGCGAGATTCGCGGAGAGCAGCCGAGATATCTCGCTTCATCACGCGCAAAGATTCTCCGCGCACCCTCCGCGCACCCACCCTCACGTCTCCCCCGCTGCTTGTGCAGCTCTCTTTCTCTCGCGCGCGCCTCCCACCGGCCTGACGCGTCAGCTAGCCGCCTTCACGCCCGCGCCTGGCTGCGAGCAGGAGCGGGAGGAGCTGGCGCGGGCGGTGCGGCGCGGCGCGGCGGAGGAGAAGCTGGCGGCGGCACAGGCGTGGCGGCAGTCTATCCGCGAGTCGGCGCGCCGCTCGACGCTCCGCTCCTCGCGCCGCTCCCTCGGCCCAGCCCAGGCGGCCACCGCAGAGCATGCGCCGCCCGTCAAGCCCGCCCTGCCCGCCGCGGCGGGGTCGTCTCTCTCGTCTCTCTCCTCCCTCTCCTCCCTCTCCTCCCTCTCCGCGCAGCCGCCGAGCGGCGCGCCAGCGGCAGATGTGGCCCCTCCGCTGCCCCGCCTGCCGCCCGAGCCCGAAGGCGCGCGAGGCGGCGAGCCGACCGATGCTTGTGCTGACCACGCCAGCACCGACGCGGAGCGCCCGCCGCCCGAGCTGGCGTGGCGGGACGAGTCGGCCGACACGCCGCGGTTCGCCGTTTGAGTCTCGGCAAGTGGCATATACCCACGGCTTTGTGCACGCAGCACGGGTCTCGGGTGCGTGTGGCGCCAGCTCGAACGTCGAAGGCGGCTACCGTGTGGGTGTGGCTGTGTGCGTTTCGGATCGAATGGGCGCGGGTGCGCAGAGGTACCGCGGGATTTTTTAAATTTTGCCGCGGCAGGCGAGACGAGGAGGACGGAGGCGAGGGCAGAGACGCAGAGTGAGAGTCCAGAGACAGCGCCGCATTCGGCGGAGGCGACAACGATGGAGAAGGGGAGGGAACGAAAACACGCACAGAGGATGAGGATATAAACTGGGACGACGCAGCGGAAGGGATAGACGAGGGAATCGAGGGACCGGAGGGCTTTCGCGACAGCGACGATGACGACGAAGGCAGGGGAGGAGACGGAGGGGCGACACGCAGGAGGAGCAAAATCGCGAACGGCCCGAGCAGAGAGGGCGACGGCGGAGCACGAGGGGGCAACGGAAACGCTACCAATGACGCGAACCGAGGCATGGGCGACGACGGGGACGGGGAGGGCGACAGCGACGTCGAGGTTGACGCAACGGTATCGAGAGCGCCACCCAAAAGGTCGCGGACAGCCATGGAGGTCACCGAATGGAGGGCGAACGGCACGACACGAAAAGGCAGGGCGAGGCGGATGGAGAAAGAAGTGCCGAGGAGGCCATGGTGGAGGGGAGGGACGGGAGGACGAAAGAAGGGCGAGGAGGACGGGCGGCCCGCACAGACCGCGAGCAGACAGCGCCTGCTGGCCATCTCGAGACATTCGCAAAGAACGCTAGCTACATGGGAGGGCTTCGTGAAGGATGGATTGAAAAACATTCGAACAAAGAAGAGGCGACGGGAGGAACCGGCAGAGGATGCAGTGACGTGACACACACACACACACACACACACACACACACACACACACACACACACACACACACACACACACACACACACACACACACACACACACACACACACACACACACACACCGCTCACCCACGCGCACCGGGCCTTGCACTTTGAATGCCGTGGGGCTCCTGTCGTCAGACGTGGAAGGCTTTTGCCGCGTACAGTCTGTACAGCTCGTCGACAGACGACGCAGGGCAGACGATGTGGAGGCGGAGCGGACGCGCAGGGCGAGACGAGGGAGGGAGCAGGACTTTGCGGAGATCAGCAGGAGGATGTACGAAGAGATTAGGAGCAGCAGGGACCCGAGGGACCATGTGGAAGACGGCTAGAGTGCTAGTCTCTCCCCCATCGGGAGGACGACCCCGGCTAGTCGCCGACCACACCCACAAAGAACCCTGCACAAAGATCGCACGGGCGGGGATCTGTTCCTTTTTACCCATCTCACAACAACAACATGTACATGTACATGTCCGTTTTATTTGTTTTGGAACAGCTCAATCCGTGCGGGACGCTCAATAGCATTACTTGGCACGACGCCCGTTGGGGGGGCACGCGTGACCCACGGCCACAGGCCAACCGATGCCATCACACATCCTCGCGGCCTTGCATCGAGCCGTGCATGTCAGCTGCGTGAGCGCGCGCGTGCGATTAAGCTGCTGGACCTCGCGCAAGATCGGATGTTGGTTGGTGACCAGCCGCGGGAAGCGCTTGTTATCACGGCTCGTGTGGCAAAGCGTCCAGTTGTGTTGCCGCGCGTGCGGTGAGGTGACAATGTTCCACTTCCGCGGGGGGCCATCGACGCAAGTGAGGGTGCTGGCCACGTGGGCGTACTGGTCGACTGGAACCAGCGCCGCGACCGCATCGTAGAACCACAGCGTACTGGCGTCTCTCAAGTCCGGCCTGTTGGAGTCTATCCCATGCACGACGAGCGTCTCGCCGGGGACGAGGGATGCATAGGTTGTCCACTTGAAGACCTCGTCCATCATGCGCAGGTGCACGGCCACCAGCTCACGCGAGTGCGCGAATGCCTGCACGATGAGCCAACCCATCGAGACGTCCGTCGTCATGGCGCACTTGCCGCGTGCGCGCAAGTGGGTCACGCCGTGGAGCAGAGCATGGCGTGGCTCGATGTAGTCGAAGAGGCGCGACACCGCGCGCGGGCTCAGGAAGACAAATCCGCCGAACGCAAAGGCGAAGGAGCGCATTGGGTCGGCCATGCGGACCGGGCCGATGGAGTAGCCCGTGTGGATCCCGCTCGACTCGTTGTAGCCGTGCGCGTGCTCGAAGCTGCCGCCGTACGCTGGACGGCTGCCGACGACGGTCGCTGCGCGCCGTAGGAAAAGTGCCATGCGCACGGGATCGAGCCACGTGTCGCGATCGATATAGCCGACGAACGGCAGCCGCGCGTACGCGGGGTTGCGCATCGCGTGCGCGAACCACTGGAGTATCTTGAGCACGCACTGGTTGCCTTCGGTGTGGTGGTGCTTGCTGCGCTCGATCTCGAGGACGTTCCACTTGAGGCCATTGAGCAGGGCGACGCAACCCGCGCAATGGCTGGACGGATCCGGCGGCGGCGCCTCGTGCGCGAAGGCCAAGTAGCGGAAGAGCAGCACATCTGCTGCCGCTGCCGTAGGCAGGTAGTGCGAGGCCCATAGGAGCGTCGTGACGTCGCGCCAAGGGTCTGGCGTGAGCACGCCGAAAGCGGCGACTGCGCGTGGTGGGGCTTGGGGATGCATGCGGTGGCGCGTGGAGCCGTCTGTCAAGTACTCGGTGGCACGTGTGCCAAACAGGAGGGACTTATTGCGCATCTGGCCGATATCCCAAGGAGAGGACCGAGATGAGCGTGTGCCAGTATCTTCGGCCCTCGCCAGCATTAGCGTCAGCCAGCTACTCGGCCAGCACTCAAGTCGACCGTGCGTGGGCGGGTGGGCGAGTGGTCCTATTGGCGCCGATGACACGCAAAGTTTTCGTTACGCGCACCCCCCTAGGGGTCAGGGCTCTCTAGCCCGTAACCCGATGCCGATCATCCGGCCCGCTAGGTGCGCTTCTGAGCTCCCCGGCCCTGGATGTGAGGTTACCGACTGCACTCCAAGTGCTCCAAGGATTTTACTGTGAATGACACCCCCCCCCCCCAGGTTGCCACGACGAGCTCGAGCACGCTTCTATACGCTCGCCGAGCCTTCCTTTCCATCCCATTAGGCAGCCTGCGCTGGGAACGGTGGCGGTCAGAGGCAAAGCCTACGAGGGGTGGTGGAACCACATGTCACGGCTACTGCCGGCTCGACCCCACGAACCCACGATAGCCTCCGAAGGCTGACTTTGCGGCACCATCATCGGACGATGTCGACGAGTTGGGTCGCTCTCGCGGTAGCCAGATGACCTCTCTTCCTAGGAGCATCTCGGCCATGGCCGCAGGGTCCAGGGAGCGCGGGGGAGGGCGCTGGAAGCAACAGCCAACACGGAGCTCCGATTCCGTTGGAGTATGGAGACGTTTTCAAGATTAGCGCGTCTCAGTGAAATGGCACTAGCCCATATTTTAATGCATTTTTTATCGCCGGCGAGGCGCGAGTGAGAGCTCGCTCGTTACAACATCACGTCAAAGAGCACATCACTCGCAAGACGGCGCGCCAACCATGTCCATGATCCATCAAGCATCGTGCACCGGGTCTCGGACGCCCCGACCTAGTCCCCCGACAGACCTCCAACACGCCGCACAGAGCCGCGAGCGCAAGAGCCACACCGGCGGCGGGCAGCACGCCTCACGGGGCATGCCACGCCGCGCACACAGCCCCGCTCCCCCAAACCCCCGAACCCCCGCGTGCAGCACCTGTGTGTGTGCGCGTGCGCGATCCTCCCGGGACGGGAGCCCCGAGGACGGGCGCCCCGAGGCGGGCGGGGGCGCGATCCCACCGCCAGCGACACGCACCAAACCTAGTACGCGCAGAGCGCGTGCCAGCACCGAGCGCCAAGCAGCCACGGGCCAGCACCCGGGCCAGCGCGAAGGCCGCAGGCGCAAGGCGCCTGCGCCGCCTCTCAGATCAGCCTCCGCCGCTTCTTTGCAAGGTCTCCCTCGCGCCCCGCCCCGGAGGGCCCTGCGCTCGGCCCCGCGCTCGCGCCGGCGCCAGCCCCGCCCCCCGTGCCTCCTCCCGCGCTGCTGCTACCCTCTGCCACGTCGGCCGCCGCGCCCGCGAGCGAGGAAGCGGCCTCGCACCGCACGCCGCTGCCACCCTGCGGCTCCGCCCCCTCCACCGCCGCCCCCTCCACCGCCGCCTCGGCCGCCGCCGCCTCGGCCGCCGCCGCCATCGCCGCCTCCGACTGCGCCGCGGCGAGGGCAGCCTCGTGGATCGTACGCCACCTGCGCACAGCAGGACGCGAGAACGGCCTTCATTAGGCGGCGACGGTGCGCCGGCGACGGTACTGGCGGGGGCGGGAGCAGCAGCGGAGGCGAGGGCGGCTTGACAAGTACAGGTGAGAGGCGGCGGCGGCAAGTGCGGTGGTGGAGTGGGGCGAGGGAGGTGCGGTGGTGGAGTGGGGTGAGGGAGGTGTGGTGGTGGAGTGGGGCGAGGGAGGTGCGGGGCGCGCCGTCTGGCATGGTCCTCCGCCACCGCCGCCCGCCGAGCGATCTCCTCGAGGTGCCTGTGCCATTAATTAGTCGTTAATTAGTCATTGATTAATGATCTCCTCGAGGTGCCTGTGTCGTCGGGAGGTGGCCGAGCTCAGCCGAGGTGCAGCCGAGATCGGCCGAGATGATGATGCCCGCTCCCCCCCCCCCCCGCCGAGGTGCAGCCGAGGTGCAGCCGAGGTGCAGCCGAGGTGCAGCCGAGGTGCAGCCGAGGTGCAGCCGAGGTGCAGCCGAGATGCCCCCCCCCCCCCCTTCCCCCGGTGCCTCGCGGAGCCGCTGACCGGCTCGTCCTCGAGCGAGCCTGCGTCAAAAGGGGCGAGAGGAGTCTCGCGTCAGAGACGGACCCGACACGGACCCCGCCCAAGGACGGCGGATCTCGGAGCATCTCGGGACGATCTGAGCGCGCCAATCAAATCTTCGAGCGGGATCGGCTCGACGTCATCCGCAGCAGCAGCAGC